ATAGACACTGCGAATATTGTTTGCATGAAATTTTTATTTTTTTGACTGCATAATTGTCGGAGTTACAATCATAATCACATAAAATTAGTTAAATTTTTATACACATTTATATATATATATATATATATATATATATATATATATATATATATATATATATATATATATATATATATATATATATATATATATATATATATGCTCCCTGCCTTGGCTACTATATTTGCAGTTTGTATACATGATATTTTAACGACAGCTGGCAATATGCACTAAAAGATTTCTGTGCGTAAGGAACACGCTTTGTGGCTTTTTATAAAAGGTTCACTCTTTATTCTCAATAAATTCAGCCATATCTCTCACCAGTGGCGGCGGAACATGGGGGCTAGGGGGGCTTTACCCACCAACCCCCACAGTTAAAAGTGGAGGGGGGCTTCGATCCCCCCCCCCAAAAAAATGTTTTTTTCTGGAAAAATTTTGATAATTAAGGAAAAATTTAGGGTATTTTTGCAAAATTTAGGTATAAGGGAAATTTTTTTCAAAAAGGAAAATTTTTTTCAGCTTTTTATTGCATGTATATGTCCGGAAAAAAATTTTAAAGTGAAGAAAAATTTAATCACAAAAAAAATCAGGTAAAATTTAGCCCCCAAAATAAAATATGTTCCGCCGCCGCTGTCACTCACAGGAAATTTGTGGAAGGATAATTCCAAATTTTTAACACTGTCGCTACGACAAAGTGGCACACAACAGGTCGCTACTCTGTACATTTTACCTTTAGGCACTTTTTACGTGCCATATTTATCCAAACAAACAGCAAACCAAACGGCTTGAAACTTTCCAAAATATACGCGAAACAAGTGAGGTTGCATTAAATTTGATTCGCGTAAATACGTTGTAGTTAAAAACTCCAATAAGACAGTTGAACCGCAGTGAATAGTACTTAAAAGTATTTCTTAAGTCTTTGAAAACCTCTGAAATGTGAAAGCTCGATCTGATTTCAAACAGTAACTGTTTTGATTTTTCGCGCCAAACAACCTCAATGTTTTGTGGTTGTGAAATGAACGTTTGATCAAACATCTGTTGTTTTGGGACTGTCAGTGTGCAAACATTTTTGCCTCGCGAGTCGCTAGAATTAGACCGATCCTTAAATTTTTTAGGCAAATAATATGCTACAATTAACGTGTTCCTTACCTCAAAAATAATTTTAGGCAGTCCTCACCTGACTAATACGAATCGAACTCCTTCTCCGATTCCGTAACTCTGTACGCCATGTTAAATATTTCCAACCACACTCGCTTGTAGAAGTTCAAGACGCAGTAGAAATATGAAACAAGTCGTACAGATTTAGTCAAAACTTTAATCAAAGCGAAAATGATAAAAGTATTCTTGCAATTCTCATGTGTTTAGCACCTTCCCTCGTTCGTAAAGTATAAGCGCCATGTTGAAAGATTTTGCTGTGTAACTAAACTACCATGATGCTTAGCAATTCCGCAATTGGCCCCCATTGTGTGATCTAAATTATCAAGGATCGGCATATCTCGTAAGAAAGGTTATTCGACATGCTTCTACAATATGAAACATTGATAACTGTTGGCAAGTCATGTAGAGACAAAACTTCTACGTCTTCGTTTAGAATTTATAACCCACTTTTGAGAGCTTTTAAGTCCATTTTGTTTCCTTGTACTAAAACATTATTAAACGTTTTGACTACTTGGTAAAAGGCTTATTTTTTGCTGTCAAAATAGGTGATAAAGTCATAAAAGCACATATTGCTTGTCTACACAGTGTGTATCAAAAAACGCAATCGAACTTCAGCGCGCTATTGTACGTGAATTACTTGGTGTATTCACACCACTTTTCCATATTCGGAAAGATCAGGCTTTTAGCTATTTAATGATATTATCTGAGTGTATATCCACACCGGGCAGGCTTGAAATATATGCGTGGTCACGGTGGGAATCGAACCTACGACCTTTGGAATACTAGCCCAATGCTCTGCCAACTGAGCTACGCGGTCAGATCGGTTCAAGTAAGTGATATTTCGGAACAGAATCTATAGTTCCTTCGATATCAATGTAAATCTAGTAATCATGATTTTTTCTGTGTTGATGTGATGTACTCAGGTGAATATGATGCTTTTGATGCTATTTTGAGTCTATATCGACACCGGGCAAGCTTGAAAAATATGCCTGGCCACGGTGGGAATCGAACCTAAGTCCTTTAGAATACTAGCCCAACGCACTGCCAACTGAGCTACGCGGTCAGCTTTGAGCATTACACCAACACAACAACTATCATGATTATTAGATTACACTGATATCGAAGGAACTAGATTCATTTCCGAAATATCACATGCTCGAACCGACCTGACCGCGTCAGTTAGCAGAGCATTGGGCTAGTATTCCAAAGTTCGTAGGTTCGATTCTCACCGTGGCCAGGCATATTTTTCCACCCTGCCCGGTTTGGATATACAGTCAGAGTAACATCACAAGCATCTTATTCACCTGAGTACATTACACCAACACGGCAAGTATCATGATTATTATATTACACTGATATCGAAAGAACTAGACTCAGTTCCGAAATATCACATGCTCGAACCAACCTAACCGCGTAGCTCAGTTGGCAGACCATTGGGTTAGTAGTCCAAATGTTGTAGGTTTGATTCCAACCGTGGCCAGGCATATTTTTCAAGCCTGCCCGGTGTGGATATACAATCAGAGTAACATCACAAGCATCTTATTCACCTGAGTACATTACACCAACGCAGCAAATATTATTTAATGATATGTTTTTCATGCTAAATGGAGAAAAAATAAGTAAGAGTCCGATAAAAATGTTAGTAAGAATCGTATATTATCACCCCTGTGCCTAATGAAAGTAGTGCATAACAAAAGATAAAGCAATTAATCACGAACGGCTATTAGTAAAACACGGAGCACGGAGCACGGAGCACGGAGCACGGAGGACACGGAGCACGGAGCACACGGAGTGCGGAGCACACGGAGCACACGAAGTACGGAGCAGTAGAAAAACGAAAATCCTTTATAATAAAATACACTGTTTACTATTACAATTTTTTGTTATTTTTAACAAAGTTTTTTCGCGTATTACACGTTAGGGAAGTAGGAAAATGGGGCTTTTACTGAAAAACACATATGATGCAAAACTGCCAAAAGCCATAGTATTTAAAATGGGATTGTGAAACTCGTTATCTTACATCTATCAAGCTTATGTAGTTATATTATATTCGGATATTCCGTTGGCCAACGTATAAAGAAACACTTACTGTAGAGAACAGCCGATATATTTCGTTACCCCTGCCAAAAAATAGCCAAGTACTCATCTTTCAATGTAGCCGGGATCGACTGAACATTAAAGCTTGTGATGGAGAGAAGTGAATTTTCGGTTTATCCTTCGGCCCAGTGTGCTGTACGTGTTTCCTGACTGACGGGCACGTAGTATTTTAAAAATACTGCCCGGCAGCCGCATGTAGACCAGTATTTCGATTCCGATGGAATTATAAAGTTTGATAGTTTTAATAGTCTTTAGCTACATGTGATGGATATTTTGACTAGACTTATAGCCTAAACTAGATAGAGTACACACAATATGCGTTACAATAATGCGTACAGCCGTTGACTTTTGGTCCAGTAAGCTAACAAATCGTACAGCCGTTTACTGTCTTTTGAAGTACGTGTAAAAAGCATACATTCCCAAATACTTGGTCGAGTACGCACGCATATCGAAATGCGCTATTATTCGTGCTATTATTTAGGCCTTCCCGATTGCGCTGGTAAAATCCAAACAAAGTTCTGGCAAAAAGGGCTAAAAAGTACTCAAAAGTGCTCAAAATCTCAAAATAATGTGGTAAAATTGTGAACAGTTTATACCTCTATAAAGATTTTCGTAATGTTTTTAAAATCAGCATTTTTTAAAAATCTGTTTCCACGCCTTTCTCCATATATGGAACAAATTTCCGTATATGGAGTTGTTTACGACAAAAAAAAGAGAACGCGAAAAAGTCAGCGTTCTAATTTTTTAACCGAATGTCATATGCAGCTGTACGGCTTTTCTTTTAGAGTTTACCTAAATATTTATAGAATAATAGTATAATACACGTCAATTTTTAAACCTTACACCGAATTGTATGTTTAGTTAAGGGGTGGGGGGTGAATATGTTTTCGGATCGTCTACAGTATAATATTGTGAATGATTCCGAATATTCAAAACGGATTGAAGGAATGTGAATTCAAAGCAGTAATTATGTACTGTATAACGGTTTAAACGTCGGCCGTACAGCACACTGTCACTGCCACTGAGCCGAAGGATAAACCGAAAATTCACTTCTCTCCATCACAAGCTTTAATGTTCAGTCGATCCGCTACATTGAAAAATGAGTATACTTGGCTATTTTTTGGCAGGGGTAACGAAATATATCGGCTGTTCTCTACAGTAAGTGTTTCTTTATGTGTTGCCCATCGGAATATAATATAACTACATAAGCTTGATAGATGTAAGATAACGAGTTTCACAATCCCATTTTAAATACTATGGCTTTTGGCAGCCTGGTTTTGCATCATATGTGTTTTTCAGTAAAAGCCCAATTTTCCTACTTCCCCAACGTGTAATACGCGAAAAAAACTTTGTTAATAATAACAAAAAATTGTAATAGTAAACAGTGTATTTTACTATAAAGGATTTTCGTTTTTCTACTGCTCCGTACTTCGTGTGCTTTGTGCTCCGTACTCCGTGTGCTCCGTGCTCCGTGTGCTCCGTGCTCCGTGCGCTCCGTGCTCCGTGCTCCGTGTTTTACTAATAGCCGTGAATCAGGTCTTAATAGATAACAAGAAAGTTGGAGACAGTTTTTGCAAATACAAATTTAATTAACTGAACGTTGTTACAAAGGCATATTCTATTATTATATCAACCTTTAGGCCTTAAAGTTCACGTCTATCTATTGATTGTTTATTCTACCGTGGCCTGTCCTTTTACCCATTTCTTCAAGTTAAATTGATACTCCCGCAGCATAATGCCTTGATTTTCTTGTCATCGCATCTAGTGCTACAAGTACGCTCGTTTCTCTTTTTTTTGAGACGACCACAAGGTGTTGCACAACCGAATGCAGCCTTCTTTTCCGGACAGGTCACTCTGCGAATGCCATGAACAATTGTACAGTTCAATCCCGACGAACCTCCTGGCTGGCCTACAAAACATATATGATAACAATTTTGTGAAATTCAATTTTGTGAAAATAGTTACGAAGCATTTTTTGTATGTCGTGAATTTGGAATGAAAGAACTTGAAATGCGTTTGGCGTACCTTTTTTTCTGGCTATACATGATATGTTTAACAATTATACCAAAGTGGGAGTTATTTTGTGTCTCGGTGAATATCCTTGCGCTGTTCACCGACACTGAGGTCGGCAACCGGCATCGCATTACATTGCGATTCAATTTTTCGAAAATCACCTTTCAAGTCCTCACAGAATAACGTTTCGAGCGGGGGGACAAATGCCGTCAAATATTACACAAACCGAAACACTCATATATTTTATATACATTTACTCGAAACTTATATACATTTACAATGAGCAAAATACTCTTTGTGTCCAAGCGCTTTCGTGTAGAAAGTTTCGTTTGAATACGGCGAGTAGGAATATTTTATTTTGAATTTTTCAAAATATCGGTTTTACTCGCACACGCGTGGCACGCGCTATACTGAGCCAATAAGAAGCCCCTGTAGCCGCGATGACGTCAAAATCACGAGTATAGATGAAGTTTGACGATTTGACCTGTAGAATCGATTTCTGGCATTTCCAGAGTCATACGATACAAACGCTGTTTTGACATTTTGAAATTGCATTTCTGGTTGGGATTATTTCAAAGTCAGACCAGAAATGGAAATACGGCAATAAAAGATGCAAACTAGATACAAACTCCAAAATAACACTCTACATAGTGTTTTGATATCGATTTGAATAAGACTATTACAGAGAAGATACGTTCGAATTTAAGGGGCCGAAGTTATGTTCGGCAAAAAATCTAGATACGGCTGGCCTATATTTTTGTTCAGACAATTGCGTACTTTGATAATATAGCTACAACCTCGCTTAAAAGACAATGGCAACGAAAATTTTTATTGGCTATTTCAATCCTACTCAGACGACCTAACTATGAAAATATTATCATTTCCTTCCCGAACATTTTAGTCTATAAGTAAAATGCATGCAAACTTTGTGTTTCGCCGCCATCTTGGAAAATATTTTTGAAAAACTTTCTCGAAGGTCAATGAACTTTGTGACGTCATTAGATGGGTAGCACCAAAACTACAAGAGAGAATTGCGTGCGTGTTATGTTAGCTAAAAATATGTCGTTTTGAGCGTTATAGTGGCCAACACTCTTCGCAATCAAACAAGACAAGTCTACACTATCACATAAAAACATATCGAGCGACTGGGAAAGCAAGGAATGGCGCAATTTACAATGCAGGTAATTGATCATAAAATATTGCATTTGTGTTTGCCCTGTTACACTCGAATTTCTGCGGGTTTTTTTAGCACGAATTAGGATATATACTATGAGAAATAGTGTTAGAAACAAGGTACATACTTGGTAAAACGTTTCTGCCTTTGGTTTTGGTTCAACGTGTAGGCTACTACGCGTGGTAATACTCGGTATTGTTTTATAGTCATGAAATTGTGTTTACCCAGCTAATGACGTCAGATAATGTATGCTGTGCATAAATGTTTATTTTCAAAATGGCGGACAACTTTTTATTACATTTTCTCAACAACTAAACCCGACAAACCGGCCAAATTATAAAATTAGGTATTCCGTAAGTATACGCAATAGATATAAACAATAAAAATTTTGGTTGCCAATTTCCTTTAACTTTCAAAGGCCGTAAATCGCCATAATGTTATTACGAATTGGGAGATTTTGTTACGCTGAATCAAACGGTAGGCCGTAGTATATTTGTCTTCATAAGAATAACATGCACTGATCGGAAGATATGAATTACGTTTCAAAGTCATACGACACCGGTGTAGTATGAAAACTGGGGTATGTCGAGAAAGAGATTTATTAAGTACATGCCATGACAAAACAAAAATGACCAAAAACAGCGAAAATAAATAATTTCTGTTAAATCTTCCGTATAGCAGTTGTGTATAAAAATAGTATTCACAAGCTGTTAGCAATTTTATTTAGCAGAAATGGTTTTAAAAAACCGTTAAAAAACTTTCTGTTGGCTTTCTTTGTGTTTGGGGGAGCCGCAGCTTCGTTTAGCGAAAATATTTGCTCGTTTGTAACTGGAACAAAACGGGAAGACATTTTGTTTTGGTCGGGTATCCGGAGCTGAGGAACCAATCAATTTGCGCGAAGAGCACTATTTACCTCCCGAATATATGCTAATAAAAATGACTGATGATGTTTTTTTTTTCTTCGAGTAGAAGTCCCTCAATTTAGCATTATTTACAGATAGAGCGGTATAAATATACTTTTAAGTTTGTTTCCTAATTGTAAAACGCATCGAAAACTAGAAATTTTGTCTTAAAATTCGTTTTAATAAGTTTTGTACCCTTTAAATTTGCAAGGATTAGGTTACATTTCTACAGTTAATTCAAAAAGCTTGTTCTTCAAAAAATCTTGAACCTTAAATATTGAGCGCGCAAAGTATGCTGGGTATTGCTCATTGGAGCCTCAAATTTGGCATATATGATATATTGGTTTAGTGAACCAAACAGACCTACATCGAAAGTGTGCATCATATGCCCAAGCATTGTTGCAAAGCAAATTTTCACAGTTTAAAACGTTGAATAGGGAGTTACCCATTATCCTTTGCGAGCTCAAAGTTTAAGGTTTAAGATTTTTGAAGAACAACCTTTCTTGGATTAGCTGTATACTTTTTCACATTACATATAATAGGCGAAATAGGTAAAAATAAATGGAAAGCTAATGATAAGAAATTGCTAAAACTATGTTTAATACTTTTCTGTGGATAAGCACAAATTTATCTAGGAATAGTCTAAATACACGGGAAAATACTTAATTGTAGAAGCAGACTCGCAGCTTACATAAGAATTGTTTATCCCACCTGCCATATCCCGAAAGCTGTGTCAATATTTTGGCCAGGGATGCAGCAGGCGAACCAACCATTTTTCATATGAGCATGATAATTTCTTTTTAGAAAAAATTAAGCTGAAAATTTGATTACCTTGTAATCCCGGAGGTCCTTGCGGTCCGGTTTGACCAGGTGGTCCGGTATGCCCTCTGCTCCCATTGTTGCCTCTTGGTCCTTGTGGTCCTGGTGATCCACCAGGTCCTGGTTTGCATGAAAATTAAAAGAAATGAAAATCACCAGTTCACTGTTCCAAAAACTAGGACTGAATCATCTATCTCCTAGGCCGTTAATTATTTAATTTAATGCTGGTAATATTGGGCAAAACCACAAGAATTCTTCCCGCAACGCTGCTTAAGGAGTCTCCCTCCAGTTTCCAATATAATGTCAGTATTTTAAACTAAAAGCTATTTGAATCTAAAACAAACTAATTTTTTGCACCAAGCCATTGTTTCCTCTTATATAAAAGAGTAATTTTAACCCACAATCGCTACTCTGCATGTTACCATGACAACTTGCAGTCACCATCGATATGACCTATATCAATCAAAATCGCAGCTTACATAAGAAATGTTCATCCCACCTGCCATATCCCGAAAGCTGTTGAAGCCATGACTTTAGAACCCCGTATGTGTAATGAAATCACTCTTTATTTTCACGTTTATTACAAATGTAGTTGTGTACAGTAGTTTCTTTCACGAGGGAGTTCAACTAACAACACAACGATCCCATCATGCATTTGTCTCTCAGTATTACGTCATACTAATATTTGGATAACATACAGTTTTATATTGAACTCAACAGATGCAGCAGGCGAACCAACCATTTTTCATATATATGAGCATGATAATTTCTTTTTAGAAAAAATTAAGCTGAAAATTTTGATTACCTTGCAATCCCGGAGGTCCATGCGGTCCTGTTTGACCAGCTGATCCGGGATGCCCTTTGCTCCCTGTGTGCCCTCTTGGTCCATGTGGTCCCGGTGGTCCAGGAGGTCCTCGTCGATGGCCTGAAAATGAAAATAATTGAAAATCACCAGATCACTGTTCCAAAAACAAGGACTGAAAAACCCACAAGAATTCTTCCCGCGACGCTGCTTAAGGAGTCTCCCTACAGTTTCCAATATATGTCTGTGTTTTAAACTAAAAGCTATTTAAATCCAAAATAACTTATTTTTTGCACCAAGCCATTGTTTCCTCTTACATAAAAGAGTAATTTTAACCCACAATCGCTACTTTGCATGTTACCATGACAACATTAAATGTTTGAAGAACATCTTTTTGTTTATGGTTATATAGTGGGGAACTACATAGCGTCTAAATACTATATCTCATCAGGGGCCATTTTTTTCTACCTCAAAATTATCAGTTATTGAATAACTAATGCGTACATGGTGTCTTTCCAATATATATGGTAAAAAATCATGCATGTCATTACCTAGTCGCTTAAACATTCAAGATGCACGAGGAGTTAAAAGGAGGAAAACATTCACTTCACTAAGTAAGTTAGAAATTGTCCATAGAAATTTTTACTTCAGACACGTTACTATACTGTTCCTATGGTTACAAAAACGATTCAATATGGCCGATAATTTAACTGACCTAATGCACTTTGCTAAAGAACAACCTGGTCACACTTATTTTTTACTTTTAAGTTTGTTTTGTTTTACACTTATTTTTTACTTTTTTTTCTCCCATTATGATATTTTTTCTTATGTAATTAATGTGTAACTATATCTCGTTAAATTTGTGAAAAATAAATTGAATCTTAAATCCTTTTCAAAATAAATCTTTTTGGCTCCAAAACTCCACAAAAATTTTTTATTTCGTTCAGATAGCTAGTTTAATGTCCTAGACGAAAAGGTCTTATTTTATTAAACATCTGAACGAAATAAAAATATTTTGTGGAGTTTTGGAGCCAAAAAGATTTCTTTTGAAAAGGATTTAAGATTCAATTTATTTTTCACAAATTTAACGAGATATTGTTACACACTAATTACATAAGAAAAAATATCATAATGGAAGGAAAAAAAGAGAGTTAATTATGGTATTATATCGTGCACAGTGGCCAGAGTAGCTGAGAAGCTTTCGAGTTGGCCACCGTACAGGAACCTGTACATATCCTTTTAACTGACATTTGGCTCCAGTAATTAGCCAGGTGTTGCTTAAGTAAAGTCTATGAAATGCTAAGATATAATATTGGGCATATATATTATGCCATTTTATAACTTATATATCCAACTCCTACTCTGTTGTTCTACATAATTGTACCATTTCTGTTTTCGAACAAGTAACCTTTCTTCCAAGAATTCAGGATCTGTATAATTTAAAATTTTCTATTTCTCAAACCATTTCAGAAAGCCACATTAAACTATTATCATTTAATCACTGAAGTGTACAATTAAAGGGTTGAATTTCTAACTTGACTTACTCCAAAATCTTTTTGGCCTTTTACCCAAGGTTTCTTTTGGGGCTACAAAAAATACAAACGATAACATTTGAAGTTCATATGTTACATAGAAAACTCTTTGTTATCGTAAACAGAAAAGCTTTTAACTGCCGTATATGTTATAGTACAAACATGCGATATATCTGGCACTTTTTTTCATTAAACAGCACGCCCACCCGACGTTATTTATTAGGCCTAATCAAGAAATTTTCTTTGTTTCTATTAAAAGAATCACTTGAGACAAGCATATATTGCATTTGTTTACTTGACGCAAATGTATAGTGTTAATTTATGAAGAGTTTCGTTTGAAGATAAAAGAATATATAGAGCATTTATTAATACCATCCTCATAAAATTTCACATCTCACATGCAAAATTACGTTTCGAATATGTCATATCTGTAAATTAAAGCCCTTTCAAGCTAGTAAATGTTGGTGAAGCTTACAAAAAGACTTTTGAAGAAAATTGAACAATGTTTGATGAATATTTAAAGATTTTGAACAACGTCAAACTCAGGGACAGGCACGCCGGAAATATGTGAAGGCAAGGGGGACAGAATTTCGTGAAAGGGCACTTTTGAATTGATGTATATAAATACATATATATATATATATAGCTTAAGGTTTTGGTTTACGAAACACAAACAGTGCTCAATACCATATAGATGGAGCGTAATATAGTTTTTCGTTTTACCTCAAAAAACCACAACAGTCTGTTTCAACCACAACAGTCTATACGGATAAAACAGACTGTTGTGGTTTTTTGAGGTAAAACGAAAAACTATATATATATATATATATATATATATATATATATATATATATACAACAGTCTGTTTCAACCACAACAGTCTATACGGATAAAACAGACTGTTGTGGTTTTTTGAGGTAAAACAAAAAACTATATATATATATATATATATATATATATATATATATATATATATATATATATATATATATATATATATATATAAGAGATGATTACAAAACATTGGGAGTTGAAATCGCTTGATCATGTTTTCTATTTATTGGATGATATAGGAGTGTGAAAGAGTTTTCTGCCAGGCGATTGTGCTATAACTGCTATTCTTGAAGCTCGATGACTGCAAATCTTGCATTTTCTGAAGCTACTTCGTAAAAGAATTGCACTAGCATTTCTGACAATTCGCTTATTTCTTATATGCAAACATTTTCGCAAATCTTTCTTGTAATTACAAGAGTTGATATTAAAAAAAAAACATTTCCCCCGAGCCAACGGCGCGAAACGCCGTTCCGCGCGTAAGCCCGGGGCGAGGGTATACTAATTCCGCCCGGCTATTTACACCCGGGAGTTTGAGAACATAGCGAAGTGCAAAGTTGTCATCCATTATGTTATTGACGGTTTTCGACGTTAGTGCGCATGCACGAGTAATAGCTCGCACTAAAAATTGTTTTTTATTGCAGTTTCACGGCAAAGTTTCGAAACGTTTTACTGTTACATTTTACATTAAATTTTAGCCCATTGAAAGTCACATAACATAAAACTACATTCCAAATATATAACAAATTATGAAAATCAATAGATTCTTTACGTAAAATATTATGTCCTATTATTTTCTCACATTATTTTCATCTTAACATGCATAGCGACTGTTATTATTCTAAACATGGAATTACTTCATGTTAAATGGAATTTCTATACTTCATCTGTTAAGAAAGGCGAGGGGTTGCTGCATGCATGTATTTTTAGTCATATAATAAATTGCACCTGAAATTTTTGTAAGGGTGCATGGTTGGAGTTAAATAATTTCATTTTTTTGCTCTCCTTTATTACATAAAAACAATCGCAACAATTCGCAAAATATGGAAATAAATGTCTTTTAAGGAAGTTTATTTTCAGTTGTAACACTTCTTCCGTATAAGATATAGTGGACAGCACAATTCATGATACTTTATGAAATTTGAAGCAACTATAAACCTTTATCACACTTTTTGAGTCAAATAAAAATTTAATAGAAATACTCTATATATACACCAGAAATAAAAAGAGCTGGTCAAAATGCATATAAATTTATTGAAATTTGTATTCGACTGAAAAACGTAATAAAGGTTTATTGATTACATTCTGTGAATGAACTATAGTTTTTTTCACATATAAAAAGAAAAGTTTTACCTTCAGGGGAAAGCTCGTCTTTAGACAGCTGATCTGAATTAAAATATATATCAAATTATGTGCCGCTGTTGTTACAAGTGTTATAACAATAATTCTTATCCTATACATTATGAAAACTAAATATTTACTGAACTCTTACACTGATTAGCCAATACCAAATTATTTGCAAACAATCGTGAAATGCGAATCAAGTGTTTATAGAAGTAAAAACAATGTAGCATCTTTCTTTGAATTTTTACGTTACTCTGCAACATCCGAGCTTGAGGCGAATAATTGTTTTAGTATCTTTACACAAGTCTTTTATGTTTTTGGGACTGAATTTATTTTAATTTCGCTTATTTCTTTAACATGCAGTAACTTCCACAAAACAGCTAGCCGCCATATTGAAAATTTCGGTTTTGTTATATCACCTGTAAGTGAATATAACAGCTTAATACGTCAAATTTGACCAATCAACTTATAGGATTTTTTATGTTCTTCACTTGTGCAAAAATACTAAAAATCATTATTAGTCATCTATTCTAAAATATATGATAACTAAACATTAATAAAATATCCAACTTAACTCTTATACTATAAATAGTCAATTCTATATAGGAAATAGTCTTGAAATGCAAATCAAGTGCCTTATAGGGGGAAAAGTAAAAGACTGGATCAAATATAACGTATCGTTCTTTAAATTTTGACGTTATTTTGCAATACTCGCAGAAATGAAAAGCTCTATACCCACAAATTGTTGATATTCGAAACGTGCTTTATTTGATCCAAAAGCTTGCTTCATGGGAACGCCAAACATTGTATACCAACCACCGTTTTCAAACAAGGCCAACCAAATTGTTGATATTCGAAACGTGCTTTATTTGATCCAAAAGCTTGCTTCATGGGAAAGCCAAACATTGTATACCAACCACCGTTTTCAAACAAGGCCAACAAATCATGTTGCATCCAACCATGTCGGATGGTGTCGGACCAACATGTTGGTCTCGTTTCAACGCCTAAAAATGCCTAGCCAGCGTGGCCGGCTCTTTTATAAGTACCCTGTCCGAAAGCCCTAGTAAAATTGAAACCGCCTACTTACTTAATATTCCATATTAACACCACCCACTCGAAATAGTTTTGTATAAATGATGACTTGAAATGTCAATTGTTGCATATTTACTATAGCCTGCGCTACATGCTTTCAATAAACTTTTTACAATAGATGGATAGCGATTCAACTGGCTGGAAATACAAGCAAAACGTCGGCATTTCGAGTGAAGGCCCTTCGACTTTGTCTGGAAATTAATAGTAGACGACGACCGTTCAAAATTATATTATGCTTTGCACCTGTATGGCTGTACTACAGTTATAAATATTGCAGTTAATTAAATTAATATAATAAATGACTTAGGAAAAGTAAATAGAACCATTCCAGTGTTATACACGTTGGCAGTCAAATGTATTTTAAATGCCCCAAAGTGAGCTTCGTGTTATTATGATGTATTAAACACAATGGGGAATGTATTATTTTAGTTATGTAATCGTAATTTGGCAGCCAGCAAAATATAGACAAGGCAAGGACAGCCAAGGTTTTATACTCTATACTATAGTGACCATGCATACGATAAATCTTACGAGATATGCAGCAATAGTAGTATGGCTTGCCTTATTCTGTTTAGATACCGGTATATGTTATACATTTTACACTTTGTCTTTTGAATTTTATATTTTAGCCGACAGATTTACACTTTAATATAGCGATGCCGTTTGTTTTTACTGTATTTATTTTTAAATTTTTGAATAAATTAGCGTAACATGTCAATCAACCTGTGGTCAACGTAAATTCAGCCAATCACAATTCTCGGCAGCTGGCTGTCGAGAGTGATCAGTTTTACTAGGGCCTCCGGGCAGGCTCTCCTTCAATTATCTGCCTTATAAAAGAGCCAGCAACGCTGGCTAAAAAATGCCTAAAATTTTCATATCAGAAAATTTCCGCCGGTCTTTATCAGAATTTCAAAGGTAAAGTCGTGCATATATGTGATAGTTGATGTGTAAGGAAATACATTTTCATATAAGAAATAGTGCGTGAAATTTTCGTAAACAAATCATTTTATGCTCTCGTTTATTAAAAAATAAAAACTCTTACCAATTCACAAAAATAAAATATGGAAATAAATGTCTGTTAAGAACTTAAGAAGATCATTTTTATAGGTTCTCATATGAGGGGCGAGGCGATATCAGTCCACAGTTATTTTAATAGATCAGTGGTTTGGAGACTCGATGAAAGTACAATATAACTCATTAACTATGCTATTGTTAAGCTTAATGCAATAACCTGGTCCTATCTCGTCACGCGTGTATTGTATTTTCGCTCAAATAACCAATAACAAATATAATAAGTTTGTGGTTGAGTTATCTATCCGTATCTTGAACAAACGCTCGATTTAAACATTGCTATTGGTTGTGCAGGAAAAAATACAACACACACGTGACGAGATAGGCCCAAATTCTTGCATAAACCGAAACCAACATAGCTAATGAGTTCTGTTGCATATTCATCAAGTCTCCAAACCATGTATTCTATTAACTGTGATCAGTCTAATGTCACGAGTAAATTGTTTATTAAAAACTTGTGCCTTTATCACATGTGGTAAGAATTTATAAGAATACTAAGCATTGCCAAAAAATGCCATAATTATTAAAATAGCAGGACGAAAAGCGATATCAGAGAAGAAGAAGGGTTATATCAGTGACATATCGTTTTTATGTTACTCTGTCATCGCGCTGATAAAGGCACAAGTATATGTGATAAAAATTTTACAACGCTTTAATTCTGAACCAAATCAAAATTTTACAGAAACACTCTATAAACACCCGAATTAAAAAAGCAGGTCAAAATGCATCTAAATTTATTTAAATTTTGATAGACTGAAAAACGTGATAATGGTCGATCGATCACATTCTGTAAACCAATTGTTGTTTTTGCAGTTCATATAAATAGGGAAAGGTTTTACCTTCAGGAAAAAATTCGTCTCCAAACTGCTGATCTAAAATAAAATAAAACAAATTAACTGCGACTGATATTACAATTAAATATTATACAATAATCCAGTATTAGTTATATTTTAATTTATATGTGAACTAAAAATAGATATCAACCCCCCCCCCTCCCCCCTTCCGCTCGCCAACATTTGGGGGGGGAAGAAAGATTAATGTTAAGTTTGCCTATTCGGGCAAACTATACTGTGCCCCCCAAATAAGACTAGGACCGTTTGCCCATGTTTGAACGCCTAAATCGAATGCACATTTTGTGATTGTGAAAATATTTGCAGTTCCTTCTCATAATTATCAAAGTAAAAATTATGTACGAAATTCGAGATTTTACATGTAAAAAAACATTTTCATATGGAAAATAGTACGTGAAATTTTTGCAAGTGTGAATACAGCTAAATGATTTTATTTTTTGCTCTCTTTTATTAAATGAAATAAAAAATCGCAACAATTCGCAAAATGTGGAAATAAATGTCGATGAAAGAAGTAATATATAAAAGAATATTATGTAGATAAAAGAATAAATTATATTTATGAATAAATTATAGTTTTTTGCAGTTCATATAAAATAGAAAGGTTTTACCATCAGAGAAAAGCTCGTCTGTAGACTGCTGATCTGAAATAAAATTTACCACATTAGGTTACGTGTCGTGTTATACAATAATTCATTATTTGTTAAATTCTATATCATACATATGAGAACTGAAAACTAAAAAAATAACCCTTACACTAGTCTGTCGTACTATTATTTGGAAACAGTCGTGAAATTGGAATCAAGTGTTTCATTAAGGGCTATAAGCGAAAGTTTAGATTAAAATCTAGCGTGCGCCTTTATTTATTGATGTACTTTGCAATATCCGCCTTATAGCCAAACAATTTTGGTATAGTCAAAAGACAGTCGTGAAATTGGAATCAAGTGTTTCATTAAGGGCTATAAGCGAAAGTTTAGATTAAAATCTAGCGTGCGCCTTTATTTATTGATGTACTTTGCAATATCCGAGCTTATAGCCAAACAATTTTGGTATAGTCAAAAGGACTTATAGTCAAACAATTTTGGTATAGTCAAAACGTGCTTTAGTGCTTTATTTGATTCAAAATCTTTCTTGGGAGTGAGGAACAGTATAACAACAAACGTTGTAGAAAGAACGAATCAAAATTCATTTAAATTTGAAATTTAATTTTAACTGACTAAATTAATTTTACAGTTTTTGCAGTTCGGATAAGAGATGTTTTACTTTCTGGAACAAAATCGTCTGTAGACGGCTATTCTGAAATAGGATATCAAATTACGTGCCATTGTCATTACACGAGTTATAGAAGCAGGGCCGTAGTTACAAGAGTTGATATATAAAAAACTTTTCTCCCGAGCCAACGGCGCGAAACGCCGTTCCGGGCGTAAGCCCGAAGCGAAGATACTAATTCCGCCCGGCTTTTTACACCCGGGAGTTTGAGACCATAGCGAAATGCGAAGTTGTGCTCTATTATGTGATGGACGGTCTTCGACGTTACTACGCATGCACGAGTAATAGCTCGCACTAAAAAAATTGTTTTTCATTGCAGTTTCACGGCAAAGTTTCGAAACGTTTTAACGTTACATTTTACGTTAAATTTTAGCCCATTGAAAGCCACATAACTTAAAGCTATATTCCAAATATATGACAAATTATGAAAAACAAACGGATTCTTTAGATAAAAAATTATCTCCTATTATTTTCTAATAGTATTTTCATCTTGCCATAGCGACTATTATTATTTTAAACATGGAATTACTTCATGTTAAATGGAATTTCTATACTTCATCTGTTAAAAAAGGCGAGGGGTTTCTGCATGCATGTATTTCTAGTCATCTAATAAATTGTACCTGAAATTTTTGTAAGAGTGGTTCGTGTTAAATAAATTCATTTTTTGCTCTCCTTTATTACGTAAAAACAATCACAACAATTCGCAAAATATGGAAATAAATGTCTTTTCTGGTCAAAATGCATATAAATTTATTGAAATTTTTATTCGACTGAAAAACGTAATGAGGGTTTATTGATTGCATTCTGTGAATGAACTACAGTCTTTGCAGTTCATATGTGACCCTCCTTGGGAAAACATACGTTAACGTTTTGAAAAAACGGTCTAAAAAACCGTTCTGATACCGTTCAACATCCGTTAAAACGGAGAGCACTAAACGTTTTAACGCTTTGGCTAACCGTTAAAACGTTTTGCCTTCCCGTTAAAACGGCTTGGCCTATCCGTGAAAACGGTTTGGCCTTTCCGTGAAAACGGTTTGCCCTATCCGTGAAAACGGTTTGACCTATCCGTGAAAACGGTTTGACGTACCTGTGAAAACGGTTTGGTGTATCCGTGAAAACGGTCTGACATATCCGTGGAAAAGTTTTGATCATTTCGTTTAAACGGTTTGCTCTATCCGTCAAAACGGTTTTATTAAACAGATTGAAGGATAAATCAAACAGTAAATCATGCCGATCAAACCACAGAAATGCCTTGTTGGCATTGCTTTGCAGTACGAAACTTGACAGCATGCCCGCTGGAAACGTATTGAGAAACCTTAGCAGCGAATAGCATATTCACATTAATTCACGCTACATCGCTGTTCATATATTAAAGCAAAGTTCTTTTAGTTTACGATTTATCTTATTCTATCCGTTTTGAAACAAATATGCATCCTTTGGATTTTGATGCTACCTCAACAGTCAAGGGCACACAGGTTGTCACCATGCATATAATATAAGCACGTTTCCAAGCCCTTAATTTTCAAGCAACTTTTAATCAGTCACAATAGCTTGTGATTTAATTAACATCTCACAGATGAAACAGAACTATG